TAGCACGGGGTAACGGAGTGTGCGCGTACTCTTAGCCCAGGACCAAGCGCTCTCTCCTCTGCATTGTCCCGTGTTCGTATAACGACTCTATTCCACCAGTCATTACTTCGCGCTCGCTTCCACACTGATCGGGTCGCTGTAGTAGAGCGTACAGCAGCTCCAATCGTAGACAGAATAAATTTGGTTCGCGTCTACGACATGCATTAATAAAACTATGTATTCTGTTATGCCGTTGTATACTGTTTCTGTGCATCTAAATAAGTTGGGTCTGTCTTTTCTCGCGTTCCTGTGCACGTCGCTTCAAAATTAGAATGAAACATGTCAGCAGCAGAAATAGTACTTCGCGCGTTCCATCCATTTTTTGTTCGTAAATAGCAGCTTGCCAAAGGTCACCGACTAATGGCACCCCTTAGCCCGTACTAACAACTGGCCCTCCCTGTGCGTGGACGCAATTGGGTCTAGCCGAAATGCAAATATGCTAGATAAGCCTAAATCAGCTTAAATCTTAGCCCGTACTTCGTGTAATGTGAACACAACTAATAGTACCATCTCATAATTTACTGAATAAATATTATGTCACATGTATGAGTTGGCAGTTCATACAAAAATAATCCAACCTTTATATAAAAGACCACCTGTCTATAAAGACCACTTTTAGGCAGTCTCAAGGCATAACATATAACCCAACCTGTTGCAACAATACCATCTGTTTAATCTCTGACAAATAATATGTCAAATGTATTAGTTGGTAATCAACCTTCATATAAAGACCAGCTGCTAATGAAGACCATTTTAATTATAAAGATCTTTTGGTGGTCACTATTCATAGGTTTGACAGTATTAAGAAAATAAAATCAGTCTTTCATTTTTTTTTCAAATTCTGAAAAAAACAACCTAACTATAATTCAAACGACACAAGCAAACATGAGAAACAGGTTCTGGAATAGTATCTTCCAGTAAAGTCAGCATCTGACAAACTACACTATCCTTGTTACAAAACTATCAAGCAATGCTTTATTGTAATTCAAAAGTTCATGTTTGAACAAGTTTGTGAGCAAAAGCAATAAATTAACAATGACTCAGAGAAGCGTGCAAGTCATGAGAAATAGTGTAATGTGTTAAAATCGTTAATTTTTACAATCCAATGACTATAGGCAGAACGTTTCTACCTAGTATAGTTCATGAACGTCACTGAAACTACAGTATGTGTTAGTACTAGCACTGTGTTGCAATTTGCACATAAAAAGAGGCAACAGCGACATTCAATGTCCGGAACTGTCGCCTGGCACACAAAAAAAGAAAAGAAAATCACTGCAACTCCTGATACAACATCTTATGATTTCTCTTCAATTTTGTCTCTTAATCTTTCCACCACCAGTTGCCTCTTTTTATCACAAATTCACAAAGTAGTCTCGTTTATAGTCTGCAATTTCCTTCAGTAGATTAGCACGAAAATAGCCAAATTTTTGAGTAAAAACTGAAAATTTACCCAAATTTAGTTGGTTGGCTCCAAAATTAGATTTCAATTTCAGAAATATTGATAAAATTAAGAAATATTTCAGAAAAATTTGGGTGAGAAAGTCTGGTGGTGAAAAGGTTAATTGCATCAAAATTGAAAAGTTACAACATATACCGGGTGTTCTTTATCATTAGTGTATGCGTCTATGCAAATGACAGAGGTGTCTATATGATGAAAATTACTCGTATTTTAATAATCCACCATAAAAAATCTACATTCTGGATTTAATACTTCAATTTAAGACGTGTTCCTAATAAAGCAAGTATAGTAACGATATAGTAATTACATTTTTACATCTTGTGTATTCGTGACTCAACAAAATAATTCCCTTCATCTTTATAAATATATCTAATGGCTGATTGAATAACATTGGAACATTTTTTAAATGACGTCGCTATGCTTGTTGGTTGGCTGGTTTGATTCAACTATCATTAAATTTTATAAATATTTATAAAGATGAAGGGAACGCCTTTGTTCTGCCAAGAAAATTTGTTATGCAAAATTTAATCCTGAGACAAAAATTAGACTTACCTGTTACCGTTGAATATTGCTGGATAATATCTTCTCGGGAAAAACATCGCTGTTGACCACATGATAACCCATAATATTGCCAATTCATCTAAGAGTTGTCCAACCAGACTCAATGTTGCATGGAAATATGCCGAACACACACCGACAACAACCAATAGGATCCATATGATATTAATTCCTTTATTCACTTGTTGTGCATATTGTCGGAATAAGTGAATCAACATTGGAGGTAGTAGAAAAAACAAGACATTACTAATCTGTGAATTAAAAACACAAACAAATATGCTGATCAACAAATTGTGAATGCAGAATTTCGAGTGGAGTGAAGGGGGGGGGGGGGTTACTATGCAAGATACACTTAAAATATGCGCCACAGCTGAGTTCTTAAAGTTTGTGTAATAATAATATTTTCAGTGCTTTGTTGGTAAATAATTATACATTGGGTTATAGCAAAAAGGAATACTTTATAAAATTAAATTTAATTATTTTTTTAGCGTGTTGTGTACCTTGCATGGGATTCGAACAGTGATGACTGTATCAATTTAAGCACAGGTTCATTCTGTTTTTTTTTTACATTACCATTGCACACAGCACACAGTTTCTCATCAATTTCAACTTTATATTGTTTCCGGCATTCACATAACACAACATTGGTATATGGTGGATTTGAAAGTAAGCTAAACTTAAGTCGGCTGAAATCTGTCTAAAAGTACAGTGATTATCGCTACTTCTATCTTGAAGAGATTGAAGAGAAAATTCATTCTTTACATCATTGATACATATATGTATGAAAAGAGTACAATCTGATCTCAACACTAGGGGGGGGGGGGGCGACTGTGTAGTATTATCATTTTCAAGAGCACCTATATACTGTAAAATACTTTATTTTAGCTGGAATTAATTTTCACTGAAAAGACTTTTTGAGTGTTTTGTATGGAATTTATTTTCAATGATTTTCGATGAGTTGAATGTTAAATATAGGAAAAAAGGTATATTCGCTGAATTTTATTTTCACTGAATCATTCCTTCAACGAAAATAGCGAAAATTAATTCCAAGTGAAAATAAAGTATTCCACAGTATACCATTTCACATTTGTTTGAGATATTACACTGGAACTTTGAAGGTGACATGTAATGAAGATGAAAAGAAAACAATCTGCGATTGTTTGAAAGCGTTCCCATTCTAAGCACGTCAATCGAATATATTTCTAACCAATAGCGTCCCGTAATGCAGTTGGTGGTTTGAAATATTCGTTAGAATATAAGCGGAAATTAGCAAAAGTATTGCTGCATGCAAAAAACACAAAATGTATGTATGACATCGCCTAGTAAGGCAAGGGATTATAGAAACCATAATGCAACATAAACAACTCATCTAGGACACAGTAAAAATAGTTTCAGCTTAGTATAATCTAAACAGCTTAGTATAATCTAGAATACTTTATTTTCGCTTGGAATTTATTTTCGCTATTTTTGCTGAAGAGATGATTTCGTGAAAATAAAATCCAGCGAATATACTTTTTTTCCTATATTTCACATTAAACTCATCAAAAATCAGTGAAAATAAATTCCATGCAAAATGCCCAAAAAGCATTTTCAGCGAAAATTAATTCCAGTGAAAATAAAATATTCCATAGTATATGCCAAGCTTATATTCTGATAGTACCAGTATTTACTTGTTCAGAACAACCAAAAAAGCCCTCATTAAAAAAATCTCTTGAGATATTAATTTACCTTCTTCCACATTTTATATATATTTTTATATGTATTTTAAAATTTAAGTCTAAATTTTTCTTTTTATATAATTACATTTAAATTATATAATTATATTTTGAAATATGTGTAATATATATTTTTAATTGAATTATCTATATTTTTGCTATGATTATATAGTGTACTCTTGTTATGATAACAAAAGTCAAGCACACCTACGGAATGAAATGATTGATTGTTAATCAATGCATTCTCAAAATAAATGTGATGTAAGTTGAATTTTTAGGATATTTTCAGGAGTGGACCGCCTGGCAACCTCTAGCTGTATTCAGCGGCTTTCCACAGCAGCTCACACAGAGCCTATAGAAATACATGTACATGGTACAGTTGTGCGAGTCCAAGCAACATAGATATTTCTGTGATGTAGCTCCACCTCCAAGAATACGAGTAATCCTTAATAAGCAACCTATGCGTTATTGTTACTTTAAACTGTTTAATTCCCAGAGAGAAAATATTTGTGAAGTTCGCCAGTCAGAAATGACACACAGTGAAGATTTCACTAAATTCCTTATTAAGAGAATCTTTGCAAATGCTCTAAAATACATGTATAGTTGTATGACAACTAGAAGACACCAAAAACCTAGCATGAATTCAATACACTGACCTTTAGTAAATTTTAAGTAGATATCTGATCTGTTATATCAGTTCCCAAAAATATTTACAAGTTTGTCCATGAGATATTATGTGCCCACTAAATTAAAATAAAGGTAGTTTGCTACCATTAAAACATATAAAAAAAAAATAATCACAATCATTCAAAAATTGCTGTCTGATTATTCACATGCATGCAAGATTTAAGGTTTTAAAAGAGATAGAAGGATGTGTTTTCAAGAAAACATGAGCAAAATAAAATATGGATATATCGGTACAATGTATTCAAAATTCCCCAATTTTTTTCGTGACAGTCATTTGTAGCCTTCATAACACAACATATCATTTTTTAACATAGGTCACCAAACAAAGTTTTGAGATATGATGGAATGTTTCTCCAATAGGTACCAATATGCTATTTGTATTAACTATTGTGGTGGTTGTGTGGAGAGCTTAGTTCTGTGGCTATATATTTTTATTTCAGAATTGTCAACATTACAGTAAGAAGCCTCTTGCTGGATTTCAATAATTTCTGAGTATTTTTTATTTCTCAATGGTAGATAACTACCTCAAACATGCTACTATGAATAATTAATATCACAAGTTTCAGCAATTAATGAAAATGCATAACAAGTAATTTATTTCAAATGGCCTGATGGATAGTTTAACCATTTTTGCAAAAAAAAAATTATTATCATATTCTGACATCTTGCTTCTAACAACTGGGACTGGTAATCATTTTGGTTTAGCATGATGACATATACACATATGATGGAGGTAGTCTGTTGATGCCAGCTGAATGTTCATCACGCTATGGTGTAAATTCTAAAGACATTCTGCCCAGACCACAAAACCAACAGGATTATACTGCATCATACTGTGATTGGACGAGAAAAATTGTATAGGATTGACTTTTAATTTCTGCACAGTGATGATCGCAGTTGTCAAATAGATGCCACCAGAGACACTGTTTTGCTAATGATATATTGATCACAATGTAGCCATTGCTTCCTGTGGCAATACTTTGTGTAATGTACAATGTAGCTATTATTTTAGCAAAACAGTGTCCCATACTGCAATATTGCCACTCCATTCTTTCTATGGAAAGCTTTCGTCCCACCAAAAGTTTTCTACATATTTTATATATTGTTTTAACAAACGTTTCTATTGCATAAAACGTATAAAATGGCTTAGTCTTTTTGACAAAACGAAATGAAACGAAATAAAACGAAACGAAACGACTTCACAGAAATATTTTTTTCAAGAATATTTAGTTTCCACCTCTTTTCCGCCTACTTTGCAGCTCGATTCATTTGTGCTGATATGACGTGACAGGCATTTTGGGATTGTTGAACACCGATGACGCTATTAATTTCGTATTTCACAGTGTGAAATTTTCTCAGATATTATTGGGCCAATGAAAAAAAATGCGAGTTAGGGTTAGGGTTTGGGTTTCGTTTCGTGGAAAAGACTAAGCCAAAATAAATTATAGAAAAGTTATGAAGGTTTGTTTTGTGGAAAATGATAAATGTTGACTTTATTTCTCATTAAGTTTTTTTACAAAAAATGGAAATGTAAAAGAATTCAAGCTTCCTCTTTGTTAGAATGGCACGGTCACAGTTACTAGAGCCATGATTAGATTGATTTTTTGCGCACATCATCCCCTAAAAGAATTAACAAATGATGGACCTTCCTGATCAAAGCTTGATTACTCGTTGATATAAATAAATAATTAAAACAACATTATTTAAAAAAGACAGTGAAACAAAACAAGAATGGAAAATAAGTAGCAATTTGAATACTCATTATTCAGTCAACTAAGTTGACTGCCGGAACATTGCAAGTATGTACTTTACTTAGAAATGTTTAGATTAATTGTAAAAGTATCATCCCATACATTTTTAATAGGTTTTCAAACTGATCATGAATACCAAACAGCCGTTTTAAATTTAAATTTACATAACTGCAAACAATTAGGCAGGCCATTAGTGAGACAATACATACCGGTATACGTTATTCAACATTACCAAATCTATAAATTAATCATTACCACCGGTAATTAACATATTTAATATATTCTCAATCAAATATATTTCCAATGTAATTTAATAATACTTTCACAATGTTGTAGTACTTTGAATGTGAAACAAAAGGATATAAACTGGATCATAAATATATTGCCTGCTGGTGTAAGTTTGGCTCTCTGTGTAGGTTTCAGCAGGTGATATTTTAATCAGTGATAAAAGGTGAGGTTAGAGAGTACCTACAGTGGAATTCTGACACCTAATCTAATACTGCATGGACACCGCCTGGATTTAATGTATTCAATCAATTATGCATGAATATCGCATGGTATCAACATTTGAACGTTTCATCAAAACAAATTTCTCTTTATTTTAGATATAATTTATTAATTATTTTTATTTTGTTTTTGATTATAATTAGTTTTCATTTGTCATATGTAAACATTTTTTTTTTAAACCTTACACACAAAGGGCGACCATAAATATTATTCTTGATCTTCCGCCATTGCTTCACTTGTCCAAATACCAGTGAATTTGAACGGTGGCAGAGAAAAAACACTATGGTAATGGCTGTCTTACTGTCAATGAGATCTCAATAGTCAATTATATCTCACATCGATTGATATTCATTTGAAATGTATTTGTATAGGTGAATAAAATGCTTTTGAAGTATCAATATTTGAATACTGGTAGTTCAAAATAGCTTACTAATTTCAATCACTAAAGAAACACTGCTACAGCTACTGATCGCACACATTAGAGAGCCTTTCAATAGTTTCTCTTTTTGAGATTACTGTAAAAAATGTTGAAAAAGGGGCATGCAATTTTAGCGAATTGTGGTGATATGACGTAATAGCGAAATGTTGATTTAGCGAATCTCTCTTGTCATTGTTGATTTCTTTGTTTGGCGGCCATTTTGAATTTATAATCAAGTCATTAGCGACATCTTGAATTAGCGAATCAGTTCTCTCGCTAAATTCGCAAAAAAGACATGCTCATGAAAAAGACATGTTTTACAGTATATTAAAATTATTTTTTGTTGAAAAATGTCTTCAGTAATGTATTGTATTGAATTACTAAATATCTTGTATTAATTTGCTTAACTTGGAATAGAATGCTGAAGATCTAATTCTCGTTTTTTTTCCAAATGTTAGATAAAGGGGATATTTTGAATATATTACCGTAATGCCTGTCCACTCAACAATCAAGAACCCCCCCCCCCCACGAAGAGAAGCAAGATATATTTGCTAGTTGTTATATATTTTCCTGTGTGTATTTTTATTCTCACTTTAATTGTTTGTTTGTCTTTATTCACATCTGTATTGCATTTTAGCCAAAATCCTAATAGGGATACGAACGCAATAAAGATAATTATTATTACATTATATGTACTTTGTTAATTAATTAAGATTAAGAACAAACAACAAATTTCATGTATTGAAAAATATTTGCTTTTTATAATTTATGACTAATTTTGATAATATACATTTGATCTACTTTATTGGGGATGCACTTCTAATAGAGCAAATATGGTATAATAGTACATACAACTATTGTAATGTAAACACGCTACCAAAAAGCCCCTATACATTTTACCTCATCAAAGGTTAAAGCGAGGGAGTCGTCACCTGCGCATGCATCACATGGCCATAGCGTGTCATTGTTTACAAACAAGCGTCTACCAATGAGCCTTTGTGTTTTAAGCGTGTGTTGTTTTCATCGCTTGGGACTCAATTCCCACACGTGCACAGGTGACGACCCCTCTGCTTTAAAATCTACCAAGACAGAAGTCCCAGATGTAGTTTAAAACTGACAATAACAATTATCTCTACAAGCGTATCACATCAATCTTTTCATGCAGACATGAAATATGACAATTTTTTTTTTTTATGAAAATAAATATTTATATCAACGTATGTCAGCAGCGATAACAAATAATGTGTAAAGACATATGAACCATTCTCTGAAACTATCATCCTGGGTTGTATGTTTAAAGGTCAAAGGTCATAAATGATGAAAGAATTATTAAAACAGGTGAATATATAAATCATAATTTATGGTAATTAATAACTAGTGAGTTGAAAGGTCAGAGATTTGTATGTATGTGATATCTTTATTTTTAGAGTACAGTCAACAATCCAGTGAGTTTGATGCTGGTTTTAGGCAATCAAAATTAGTCTTATTTTGACTGATTTGAAGGAACTACCTAATCACAAATAGTTTTATTCTGAGATAGCATGAACAGGATAAAATAGCCTTTAGAAAAGGTTGAATAGGATCAAACCAATCAATCACAAAAAGTCTTCCCAAAACATAGGAATGGCCTGAATTTTATCAAATCAACCAATCACAAATAGCCTTTAGAAAAGGTTGAATAGGATCAAACCAACCAATCACAAAATGTCTTACATGGAAACGGGCTGAATATTGTCAACCATGAAGCTAAAATAATTGTTTTTTTTTGGTTTGTGGGTCAACCAACCAATCAGTTTTATATATCCGGTACTAATGGCCTGAGTAGGATAAAAAAAACAACAACCACAAATGGCCTGAATCAACCAATCACAAATGGTCTTATATAGAAGTAGTTTGAATTTGATCAAACAAACCAATCACAAATAGCCTTATGTAGAAAGAGTCTGAGTACATGTGTCCTACAACTAGTACTAAATAAACCAATCACAAGTTACCTGCATACTATCTCAAACTTAACAAACAGAATTTGTCCTTTGCATACACTGAATGGCCAAGCTTTTCTAAATCTGATAACCATTTGTAGGAGAAAGATCTTGTCTGATTATACTATTTTAATAATTGTTTGACACCACATTAAGTTTATCATGACTTGTTTGCTTTTCTTTTGTCATTTCAGTGTTTGCATTTCAGGTGTGTCATGATCGAAATGTATCAGTTAATATTAACTTTCTACCAGATTATTTTCCCGCCATCTTTTTAGAGTAGCTAGGTTTCATCATTATTTTGTGTTATTTTTTCTTAATTCATTAAATGTTGATTTGGGATTTAGAGTAGACAAAAAAAAACTTGCTTAAAGACTTGTTTTCAAACTGTTTAATAAAAAAAATTTGAATGAAAAATAAAGGAAAATAGATATAAGCAAACAAGCAGATGTTAAACAGTCCCTACTTTGGGGAAGGATACAATGGTGGTGAACTGGCTGAACATATCAACAAATAATTAGTCACATACATGTATACATACATGTTCATCCACTAGAATACAAAATATAAAGAAAAAACCGTCTCATCGGACTATCGAAAATATGCTTTTAAAATTAATGAAATACCTGATCCAAATTTAACATTATTGAATTGTTTCCAATTTTAAGGTTATGATATTGCGTACAAATATGGACATGCATTTTAATATGCATCTTATTATATGTACATGGTAAATTTGAACAACAAGGAGGTTAAAATAAACAGCCAGGGCCAAGTGCAGGGACATAATATAAAATATTGCTTCCATAGATAATGCTCACCAATGGTGGAAAATTGCATTTTAAAGTTTTGTTTTTTTTTATTAAAAAAAAAATAATGTCTTTTTTAATTTTTCATTTTAGTGTAACCTTCTGCAAATTTGTAAAATATGTTTCTACAATTTTTTTTGTAAAGTTGGAATAAAAGGTCATAATTTCTCTATTGGCTATAGGTCTTATATATAGAATAGAAAAAAAAATGCAGGTTTAATCTGTAAAAGATGATTAAATTTAACTTTGGCATTCAAAGATTTATTTATGTTGAAGCTTGCAAAAGACATAGCATAAACATTGGGTTGTAGCATGTACCAGTATAATTATTTAAAATTATAATGACAATAAAAAGGAATAATTACAGTTATATATATCTCACATGGGAAAAAATGCTCGCATATCATTATCATTAAGTTACAAAGCTGAGAAGCAATGCTGGTGCAGGACTTCACAAAATAAGTATTTTTGTACTTTATTCTGGGTACAAAATAACAATTAGGAATGAAATATTACAAATGTGACTCATTGCCTTGAGAACTTCAGTGAATTGTTATCAAACCTGTTATAAGTTCATAAAAAATTATCTCTTTTTTTAATATTTGAGTGGTTTAAAGCATATGTACACTGTATTATATCATGAAAGTAAAAGATTGTCTTCTACTTCCATGATTATATAAGTATATGTATCATAGTATTGTTATTGTTAAAAAATCAATCCTAATCAATACTTTCTGCTTACAGGATAGACATGCATTCTATGCTATTTTTTTTATTCAATCTATTCAATTATAAACAATTAAAACAAAGAAACAGCATTAAAATAACTTTAACTTGCATATTATTATGCGAATGGCATCACTGTGATTACACTCAACTGTAATTCAGACCCCAAGCTTGTCCAGTGGGTATACAGAGGTTTTAACTGATTAGCGACAAACCAAATTTTTACTCTGACAAGAATCCATTGATGACTGGAAAATGCCATGACGATGTCGAAATGACCCCTGATCAGTCTCGTTTACCGCATTACTGTTATATTTTTACCTCGTTTGCCCCCTATCTACACACTGTAACTAAATTCTGTCCATAGCAATAATGTTGACCTTTCATTTAGAAGGAAAACTTAGTGAACTTATTTATGTTGAATAACAAGAAAAAAAACCCTAAATAATAATATATGAAACACTATTCAATACAAATTGCGTGATATCGCACAATTCCGATCAGTGCAGAATAATGTGGTTGTGCGAAATCAAAAAATCTAGATCATTTTATTTTTAGTTTTAGTATTTTCACTGGGGGGAATTAAAATGTCCAAGGAAAATATTTCTTATGTTTTTCTGTTATATACGGTAATCACGATATAGCAAACCAATAAAAAAATAAAATTGTTGTTTTCACGAACGATGATGGAGTAACAGGTGTAGTAATGTGCCGTTAATATATTATAGACATAATGAGAAATGTTTTCTTAAATTAAATAATTGAAAAAAATTACCGTGTTAAAAAATTCGGCAATACCCGGTAGGATGGCATAGTTGTGTTCGCACCAGTCGATCTCAGAGCTGCCCCTTTGAAGTTCCACTGGAATAAACATGGTGTTAGCGATGCGGTGAACGGTCTCTTCTCAGCGTTTTAAATGATTACAAATAGTACGTTACAGTGGATGGCGGTAGGTTATATTTTAACTCGGATTCCCCGACTCGTGTGAAGTAAGACCGCTCCGAATCAAAATATTTATTTAAGTGGCCACTCAATACGAGGCTGATCTGAGGCCGCTGAAGCTTCATCAATACAGCGATAATTACCGGGTTGATCTCTCTATGATGCGGGCTTGTTCAATGATGCTTACACTCAAGTCCACATGGCTATCATTTTCGGGTTCATGGCCGATGCAAGTGGTGAAACAAATTATATAGACAATAATATGAAAGAGTTTCTTTCACAACTACGCAATCGTTTCATAAGAACATATACACAGCTGTTCAATATAGACGAGACGAATATTCAGGACTTGACTGACTAATAATGTTAATAATTTATTGTGGATTATTAATATTATGATAGTGTACAAAAAGTTGCGTAACTGATAGCGTTCTGCATGGGTGTGATGCCGGGGGCTGTGAACTTGTTTACAAGCAAGTGTTACAGAAATACAGGAAGAACAAAAATGCATAGGGCTGTGTTCGTCGAGCAGCGCGAGTTCGAAATTCGTATAAACAATGTATTTTACACAATTCATATAAGTAACCACCGTTGTTGAGGGACGGTGAACTAACAAAACTTGTTATTTTGATTTGCAGAAAGTCAAGAGTTGTAAATCTATGAACAAATAAACTGTTTATAGCAAGTCTTGGTTATGTAAGAGCTCAGTGGTAAGGGATGGTTACAAATAATAATAATAATCTTTATTGCATAATCGTATTCTTATTTAGATATTGACTTAGAAAAAGAAAATTACAATAAAGACGAAAAACTGAGGAAGTAACAAACTGGAAGCGCTAAAATTGAAAAGAATAAAAAAGAAAAAAAGGAATAGTTTATTTATTTAGGGGCAAAGATTTAGTAAAACAAAGATAGTAAGCCATTTGGTAACACTCATTACACATAAGACTTTGCGGGTTTCCTTGAGTCTTTGGTCAAAAATTTTAGGATAAATTGTGGGATAGTTTTGTTAAAAGTTGAACTGACCGGAGTGGAGTTCTATACGGGCTGTATTCATTCGTTAATACATTGTGATTAATCAAGTTGTTTTCAATCGCCTTTTGAAATTTAGAAACATTGAATTTTTTATATAAAACAAGTTCAGGCCTTCGTGAAACCCGGGGTATTGACCAATTCAGTAACATTCAAGTTGGAACTTTTTTAGTTGACGTCGTTTTGCACTGCGCACGTTGATTGGCTGGTTGCATTCAATTGAATAAAGATGAAGGAAGCGGGTTTATTGTGCAATGAAACGATTTCTAAACTTCAATGTTGTACTCGTATAGAACATCTAAATGGGAATTTGGAATAACTTTCAAATAAACAAATCGCCACATTTATAGAAAATTAAACATTTACAAAATTCAAATTCCGCGATTTAAAAAGTGTCTAAAAGAAGTAAAACAGTGTTTTAATAATAAGATAGTAATATTACGATATTAATATTAGGTATTTCCCGGTTACCCGCGCACAAACTAAAAAATGACGAGTGGCTAAGCCACTTTATAATCGCCTTCCACCTACCCTTCAACATAAACTTCTAGTATTTATAACACGCATAATGCAAAATACATACCTTCATTCACAATTCCGATTAAGTATTTCAATGCAAAATGTTATAGTTCTAATTATTTGAAAACTGAAGTTTCGTTTTCTGTCACTGTCAAAATAGGAATGGTGTTCAGTTCATGTGCAAGTACAGACTGAGAGACAACGACATTATGCTGTGTTTTTGGAGTAACTCGCTGTTCTATGCGACTTCTGCGCCCGGCTTTTGGGCTGTTGCATGTCCTAGCCTTGCCTGTACGTCTATAGAATTTTTTGTTCGTTGGCAGAAAGTCAGTTGATGATCAATTTGGGGATTGTGCGCCGATCAAAGGTTCAGTAGTGAATGACTTGTTTGTTTGTTTGTTCGTGATATGATAATGCTGAACATTGCCTTTAACCTAGACTGGCACAGTCTGGGCAATTTATTTCTTTTTAAAGTTTAAATTAAATACAAAAATCGCGGAATGGTGGTGTTAACGCGAAATTACCACAGCTGGGCTAGTATACCTTCAACCATAGAGCTCCATGCTTTAACCTAGACTTTTTCAGTTAAAGCGGGAGGGTCGTCACCTGCGCACGCGCGGGAATTGAGTCCCAATCGACGATATCGACACACGCTAAAAACGCAAAGGTTCATGGGTAGTCGCTTGTTTGTAAACAATGACATGCTAAAAACGCAAAGGTTCATGGGTAGTCGCTTGTTTGTAAACAATGACACGCTATGATCATCTGACGCATGCGCAGGTGACGACTCCCCTGCTTTAAATTATAAAAATAAACAACTTGGTTTTGTGAAATTTGGGGTGAACACGAAGCCAACCTGGATGATTTCGCGTTAACACCTCCATTTTGAGATATTTTTATTTAATTTAAACTTTAACAAAAATAAATTGCACAGATTGTGCCAGTCTACCATTAACCCTATTAATCAACCGGGGACTGAAGGTTTCCCGGAAGTTGAATAGGAATAGAGCAACTAATCCAGCACCGGTCACACCACTTTTCAAGAGGGGTACCAAGCGCAAAAGTGTTTGATTAGAATTCTACAAAGTTAATAATGACATATTGATTGTAATTGATCGCTTTACTTAAAATATCGTCGGTATGAATTTAAATCAGGTAAGCATCATTATTGAAACATGAACGGCGTACATTAACCTTCTTGAGGATCCAGCGTGAGCCCGGGGACTATGGATTAGAACGGGAAAGAAGAACTTGTGTAGCGCACTGAACTATGGGTATTTTTCAACATGGCTGCGCCCATATGTTTTCATTTTGTTTGATGTTACGTTTGTTTCAAAAGTAGATTGCTCGCGATAAGAAAAAAAATGATAAAGACAGAGAAACATTTGCGGGTTAGAAATTACCGCGGTCAAACGGTGAGAGTTGTCCGAGAGCATTATTTGCGCGAAGATGTGCCGTGTAACAGTGAACTGTGTTTGGCAGGATGCCCATCAGATGGTAAGTTAGTCGGGACCATGGAACTACAAAAAATAACAATAACAAAGCCTTTTATTTCTATAGCGCTAAATGTGACATACAAAAAAGAATTAAACCCCAGTCCATGGTCGGGACACAGTCCGCGGTCTGGAAACGACTAGCGATCTTTTGTCTCGAACCGCGTTGCGGGTAAACAAACCGTTCACACCCGGGCCGAGGGAGCCAGAAAGTCAGACAGATTACAATACCATCAGAATATTCATTAAAATCGGCAAAATCTACCGTCATGCAAAGCGACACCTCATTGTATACCTTCACTTTGACCTCAAATTCGGGCAACTACGACGTTAGCCCCGAGTACAGTCCTGTAGGTTGACCTTCTTCCGCTGATCATTCGGCCCCCACAGTCCTGAGAAGTCGCATAGACCGGGAATTCGACACTATTGTGAAGGAATGTATCGGGCGATTTAAGAGGCATTCAGCTTTGCAGTTAGAAAATAAGCAGGTCGATACGTCCATGGACGTACTAGAATCAAAACTAAGATCGGGCGGCAACTCAGCCAAGATGAAAGTAGGATAGGATAGGATAGGATATTTTATTTGGCACATACACAATACAAAGCTAGTGTAAAGTCCAAAATAACACAAACAAAATAAGCTAAAACAATTCTAAAACATGAAAAACAAATTTTGCTAGACTACTACAAATAAAAAGATCAGAACTTGAAAGAATCAAAACAAAAATATCCTCTCTAGTTAATAGTTGTAGACTAGGCGCATAGACATAGATTGCTGTAAATAATGAGTTTCTTAATTCCCTAATTTTGTCATGATTACATCTGAAAAGGTAATGTTTTTCATCACCAACTTCATTACAGTTACACAGCTGACAAAATCTGTCTTCTCTTTTAATGCCTCTATGTCGACCTTTTTCTACTGGTAGCTGATTGGCTGAAATCCTGAATTTGGTTAGAGCATTTCTAAATTTCCTGTTTTTGGTGTTTTCTAAATATTGTTCAAATTTAATACAAGATTTAAAAGTGCTATAAGTGCAAAGTTTGTTATTATCTGTTTTGGTGATTTCTTTCTTCCATTTACTAAAGTAAATGTTTTCCATTTTTTCTTTGAACATCTCATCAAAGTCATTCTGATTAAGGTCATCAACTGTAAGCTGTGTAACTTGTAATAGTTGTTTGACATAGATGTACCATGAATCACAACTACTAGACTTGCTAAAATTAAAAGCGGCTTCTGAAATAGAATTGCTTGTTTTCTTACAATGCAATCTTTGAAATAACTCATTACTGTAGTACAGGCATTGATAATAATTGGATATCGACCCAATTTCCCCCTAGCAAGCATTATTTGAAGCTTTTCTGTTACTCCCAGACTTGTTTGCAAAA